ACATCAACATCAACATCAACATCAACATCAACATCAACATCAACATCAACATCAACATCAACATCAACATCAACATCAACATCTACATCAACATCAACAATTACTGTTAAAAAGCCACAACATTTTGTTCGTCAATACTTGAAAAATCTTGAAAATGGCTCTGTAGAGTGCACTTTTTGCAAAGTTAGGTTTGGAAAAGTAACTGGCATTAGCACAATAAAACGACATTTTGAAAAATATCATAAAGATATTTATCAACAACAACACCAAACAACACTTAATTTTCCAATAAGTGATCCATATAAAAAAGAAGATTTAAAATTAAAAAAAATCAATGATAAGTTAATAAAATGGATAATTTTCAATCAACAACCCTTTGATGTTGTTGAAGATAAATGTCTTGTTGATTTGGTATCTGAACTTGATTCACGTTATAGGTTACCTTGCCGTCAAACAATTTCAAGTTGGATTGAATCAATTTTTAAAAAACAAAAAATCGTCATTAAAAAAATGTTTAATGATTTTTCACATAGGGTATCTCTCACAACAGATGCCTGGACTTCAACAACTACAAATCAAGGGTATCTAGGCATCACAGCTCATTGGATTGATGACAGTTGGAGAATGAAGAAAATATTACTTAATTTTATACCTCTTAATGAAAGACACACTGGGGTCTATTTAGCAAATAAAATTTTAGATACTTTAGAAGAGTTTTCACTTGGCAAGAAAGTTTTGGCAATGACTACTGACAATGGGTCAAACATGGTTAGTTTAGCAGAACACTTAAATAATTATTTAATTCAAAAATACAACAATAAGGATTTTATGCATCTCAGATGTGGTGCTCATGTGTTGAACCTTGCAGTTAAAGAGGGAATAAAATTAATTGACCAACCAATTGAAAAATTACGTAAAACTGCAAGCAGTATTCGAAATTCACAGCCTATTTTAGAAGAACTTAAAACTATATTTGAAATGAAAAACCAAAAATTTTTAATTCCTGATTTGGACATATCAACCAGGTGGAATTCATTATACAACATGATAAAAAAGATGTTGAGGATAAAAGATATGGTTGATATTTTAATAGCTGGGAACAGAACACTTCTACAAATTTATCCAAATGAAGAAGAATGGAATGACATTAAAGTATGTAAAAAGATTTTTTGTATTAAATTTTTTTGCAATTGTTTTATATTTTAATTAGATACTTATTCTGGTAAATTTGTTCACAATATAGAATACATATAATTTATTGGAGCCCATTTTTTTGGCAACAGAACTTTTGTCAGGATCTAGTTATCCCACTCTTGGTGACCTCCGATTAACATTTTCAACAATTATTAAAGGATTGAATGAGAAAATTGGTATTGATCCACCAACTACACAATCATTAATAGCAACAGCTATTGTTATTAAACTTGATAATTATTGGAAACTACTTGATCAAAATTCTAAAATCGGTTCAATACTAGATCCTTCACACAAGTTATTGACTTTTCCTGAGTCTGAAGTAGAAAAAGTCAAAACTGAATTTTTAAAAAAATATAAATCATATTCAGAAAAATATGATTCTTCTTCTGAGACCATCATAATGAATCAAACTTCAAAGCGTAATTATTTCAAACAACTACTTAATCAAAACCAAAACAATAATCAATCAACTACTACAAACAATGAATTTATATTTATTAGAAGGTACTTTGATGCACCACCAGAAGAAATTGAATGTTTGGATTGGTATGCATCAAGAATAAAGGATCCTAATTATATAACTCTGTCACATATGGCAAAAGATTTTTTTTCAATACAGGCCACAAGTGTATCAAGTGAGCAAATGTTTAGCATTGCCAAACATACATTAAATCCAATTCGAAATAGGTTGGATTCAGAAAAAGCGCAAGCGAGTCTATGCTTAAAGAGCTGGATTGAAGCAGAAATTGTTTCAATTTAATTTTGGTTTTTTTATTTTGTTTGTTTTTGTATGTATATATATATTTTTTATAATAATAAAATAATAAGTTTTTTTAGTTTAAATAATAATATGTTTAAAAAAAACTTGGGACTTTTTCAGGACTTAAGTCCCAGGACCTTTTCAGGACTTAAGTCCCAGGACTTTTTCAGGACTTAAGTCCCAGGACTTTTTAGGACTTTAAGTCCCAGGACTTAAGTCCGGTCTGGTCCCAAGATAGGACTGCCAGTCCCAGGACCGTCCTGAACTGTTTAGGACCGATTAACATCTCTAGTCTGACTGATAATTATTTTATCTCAATTTAATGGATTTAACAGATTTTTCATATATATTCGATTCATTCATACATATAAATATACAATCATAAATCTTTATACTCTAATGGTATAATATTGACACCACAAGTTTAGAAATGTTGAATGATAATTTTTTTGAAGTTGAAGAACATTCAAATGCAAGCGAAATCATTGATGCTGAGGATT